AGTAATTATGTATTTAAGTTTCTCGTTTTTCCTATAACAATCAAGCTGTTTTGGTGAAAAATATGATAAACGTCCATGAACGTGGCTCTAGGAAGGAAATTATGAGTAAGCAATGAATTTCTTTCTTTAAACAAGGTGGTGTTTTTTTCTTTAACAGGAATACTTTTAACCATGGTACGTGTTCCTGTCAATTTACTTGTGAAATGCTTCATTAAATCTCCGCGGTTTGTATATAAACTCGTGATCAGTTTATCATTAACAACTGTTGACAGAACAGCCTCAAAATATAAATCACTTTACCTCAGACAGAGGATATAGAGGAATACCGCTTTAGCCTCTCGTCAAACAAATGAACGAAAATACCAGAAATATTTAGAATGACAATAATTCAGCGAAAAAAATGCACTGCAATAAAATGGCTAAAATATAAAATTCATTAAAACTGTTCTTCGTATTCAACTCTTGGTTAAAGTCACAGCCATTTTTTGACTTCCCACGTTAATTTTGGAGTGGATACAACCTGGTCGCAATTTTGTGCGCGCGCCTCCGTAGTACTGCTTTAGCATTATAGAACGTTCGACTAAAATTTTCAACTTCTCTCTTTTCATGTCTAGACTTACCTAAAAACAAAATTTCCAGTGGTTTTCTCCCTCTATGTTAGTCGCGACTTTCCCGCTTGTAGCTTTGAATGCCCTCAGGAGATTTGCGCCGTCAGATGACTTCATGGTGGAAGTTCATGGTGTTTCGACGTGCTGGTAGGGTAAATTATGAATCCTAGTGACTACAGGTCTCATGATTTCTACTCCGTTGCACTAAATTCAAAGAATGGGAGCAATCAATCTTGAGTTGTTTTAGCTATTCCGAGTTAAACTGAAGTTTGATCCGTGCTGATGGTTAACCCGCCCTCAAAGAGAACAACATCGCGAACCGTACCAGTCGTACATATCGGTATTAAAGACCTACTGATCGGCTGAGTTTGTTCACTACGTACCAAGGTTTAACTTTTGACTGAGAGTTTTCCCGAAATACTTTAAGCTGAAACGGTCAATCTACACAAGAAAGCCTTGTTTTGCTATTTGTGAACAACATGCATTATTAACGCGGTTAAGCACAGTTGCCTGGGGACAGGATTTGACATGGTTATTCTTTTTCATTTACTTCTAGAATTTCGCGAGGACATATTTTCCATTTGCTACTGGTTATTTTAAATGGTCATTTTTTCTCATTTACACCCTCCTCAAACCCTCCGTATGACAGTTATTTAACCATAAAAGTAGCTCGAGCAGGTAACGGCCTTACGGCGGATAAATTGAGAGAGCCTTTGTCTCTCCAAGGAGCGGTGATCTAATTGTTAATACGGTAATTGGATTTCAGAATACCTCACCCCAAGCTCCTCCTTTATCTTTTCTCTCTCTGTTTTTTGCGCTGCTCTCCAAACAACCGAACGTATAGGACAGGCTAAAGGCTTCGAAAACGAGAATCTAGCGTAAAACTACAGCTTTTTATTGAAGGAGAAAAGGAATGATGTGAAAAGTTCATCCATATACTAAAACCACATCCCAAGGAAGAACTTTGCTAACGGGGACGAATTATTTGACAATGGAAAAATCCTGTTTGCTTGAGGCATTAATATATTATTTACGGTATCTAAATGGATGGAAAACAAAAGGAGACATGATGCATAAGGAATGTGTGAAATAACAGCGCTACTGGCTTGTTACAAAACCAGCTAAACCATTAGTTCAACCTACAGATCGTCAAAGACGGACAATTGCTACTACACTCTCCGATAGGCGTCATTCAAGGTAAAAAACAGTGTGAAGTTCAATAGCAGTGAATATCAAGCGTGTTAACTGAACAGCCTAGTTTAAGCTTTGTTGTGCACTGATTCAGAAATGTCAGAAATACGTACTAATGGCTTTCAGCTAAAAACAAGCAAAAACTTGTTGTAAAAGAGCAGCTTACTACCAAATTGAATAATTCTTCCATTTTGCTACTATTCCATTTTTTTTTTTTTTTTCCATTGGAGACTTAAGACTATCAAGCAAAAAACTTAGGTTTAAGCATTTTGCCTTTACTCTAGGTTAAAACGTTTATTAAGGAAACGGAGTGAAATTGGAAAATGTCCCTTCGGACCAGACGCGTACAGTTTTGCTGGTAATTATGGCGAAAGCCCATGGACATGGCTTTAACATGTAAGTTATAATTAATTGATGAATTTTTTGCTATAGACAAATGTTTTTTCTTTCTTTACAGGAAGACTTTAAACATGGGACGTGCTCTTATCACTTTCCTTGTGGTGTGCGTCATATGCATTGTCTCTTCCCAGTTGCATGAAAGGCTTGTATCAGTATCGTAAGGAATCAACTCAAGGCACTAAGTGCTAGCGGATAGCTGCCAAACTCAAGTTGAATTAATTGAATTTAAAGGGTGAATCCTAACTGCTGTAAGCTTACAAGTACGTACGAAATTACAGAATGGTTGAACCGTTTCTCGGTACCATGAACAAGTGCTTAATGATACCTGCCATCTTAAACTGAGCGTTGAACGAATTGCCCAGGGAGGTCCGTACATCAAGAAAGAGAAGAGAGAAAAGAGGTTTAATCAATCTATTCTTGGCTTAGAAATGCCAGTTTTTAATTTTGAAATGAGCATTCAAGATCTAAACAGCCCATGCTTGTTTATGGTTATTATACAAAGTTTTATTTGCATTCCTTGTGCAGTCAAGCTTGGCGTCGTCGTCGCGGGGGACTAAAATTGAGAAACCATCATTCTGCCCAGGCCACTGCCGACGTCATTTCGGAGACCAAAGACGTCGGGGATGTTCCGGAAACTAAGCACCAGGATCAGAGGAAAAGCGACGAAGTAAACTGATGTGACAAAATGCGTGATAAAAGTCGAGCTGAGTATAGAGAAACAGAAATAAAAGCTAAATCACTCAATCCTTACCGACTGGTATGTTTATCATGCATCGCTTTCGATGATGAGGAGTAATAACAGCGCAACATAGCAGAATTGAGGTAAAACTAACATTTATTCCAGAGGTTAAGAATGATGTTTGCAGTCAACGACCAACGGGTGACATGACCATTTTTTCACGCCAGTTTTTACGTTTGCCGTTTGCCGTTTTCAATGTGAATAAGAGAAGTTTCACATTCATGAAAAACGCGGGGGAACACATGAGTAAAAATTGCATCTTTCAACGTTATGATACATTAGCAATCGTATATTTTAAAGACAAAATGTTGTTTTATTTTTGTAAGTAAAACATGTTGACTTATGGGTAAATTAGAGTAGCCTACAGTGCATATATTCCTGTAGCCAGTGTTTAGACCACCATCTTGGATTCGGTACGTAAATAGTGGAGGGTTGGGACGAGGGAAAAAAAATCCCCTAGGGAGTAGGCGTGAGGCAGAAAAGTTGTGGGGCCACCTCCGCTCCCCATCCGTCCTCTCTCACTAGCCTCCACGTTTCGCAAACTCGCCACGTTTTGTGGCCACCAAAACCGCCTGCACTGCCGGCTAAAATTAGAGAGAATTCGTGAGAAATCGAGTGTCTGTCTAAAATACAGAATTGTTGTTTCCAGTCCATTGGTGGTGTACATACGTGAACTCTAAGCCCAACATAGATAAACTATGAACAGCAAACGAGAAATATTAAATCAATCGTTTAGCATTTCCCATAAACGTCATTCCTACGGCTACCTCGGCGAGCCGGCAAGACGAGCCAAATCATAGAGCAATCTATCTTACCCGCTCGGGAATCCTGCTGTTTCCCGCAAGAAAATGGTGTTCTGTCTGTTCTTGATGTTATGCAATAAATCCTTTATTGACCAAGCTTGTTTGATCAAGATGGCTGGATATTGGTGTAGCTCTTTTTAGTGCTCTGATGCACTTCGAATGCATCTCGGTCCATAAACACCCAAAAATAGAACCTGACCAATATTCAGAACTCTGAGCTTTGCAGGGTGGGGGAGACCTGTGCCAACTGTACTAGTAATTCTGACAGACCAAAGATTCTCAAACACAACGGGGTTTAAAAAGGTAATGCAGTTTGTTTGTGTAAATGTCGATACACCCACTCAATTTTTACAAATTAAAGCTTGCTTGGTTTTTGTATCAGGGAAACAAAGGCAGGTAATAGGAAGTAATAAATGGAAGCACACTCAAATTTACGCAGAACAAGTTCCGGCGATAAAACTGCTTGAAATGTGGCTCTCCACCAGTTTATTCACTTTAGACCGGCATCTTCTAAACGCCCCCAGAGGGAAGTTTCCTGTAAACGCCCCCAGCGTTTATACGCAGTCAAGGTGATTCTGGCATTTATCTGTGTTTAGTTCAACTTGTTCAATCAATAGCGACATGTCAGTTGACTGGCCTGAGGTCGGTACTGAAGAAACATTAGTGAAATTCTTTTAGTCCAAGTTTATGGATGGAGCTTTCACCAGTGAGTCACTGAAACGTTCTTTTGGTTTCTTTTTGTTCAGTAAGAGACAGTATCTTGGTGAAGCTGAGGTGCTAAAGACAAAAACCTACGTTGTCGAGAATGTTGAACAACACCCGCAAATAACTTTTTAAAAGCTGGCCCCTGAGGAATGCCTGGCTGGGTCTACATGTTACATGATGTAAGGTAAGGTGGACACTACCAGTAGTCGGTTTTTGTTCCTGAAATCCTCCGCGCGCGGGGCAAATTTAAGATTATGCAAATTAGGGAGAGAAAGGGAAACATAACTCGTCGCCCGCTAGGAAAAGAAAGAGACTGCTCGCAGTCTGGGTAAGGTGTGTAGCTAAGGTAAAGCCTGCATTCAAGAGGGGGCCTATCCTGTTGTCTGCTTAGCATAAAGAAGACTGCGATTATTTCTCTCTCGTCCCATCCCCGGATGGCATATGTTAGTACAATACAGGGTTACGGCCTCAAAATAGATCTAAAGGCCGAGTTCTCAATAAAGTCATTCACCCGTTTAATCCGTCACAAAATCTTAGCACTCGCATAATTTTACACTAAATTAAAGATCTGTTATAATCTGATATTTAGAATATCTATTTTCCGATACGTAGTCAATGCGTGTATTTTTCGTTTATCCTGGCAAGAGAGACCTAGATCCTCTATCACCTTGCATGACAAGAAAACGAACGATCCTTGCAGATCGTGGCAACGATACTAAGCTCTTTATAAATATCTTTGAAGATCCTTGAAGATCTTCACCACAGTTTTTTCTGGAAAAGTGCGGTCGGCTATGCACAGAATTCAAACCAAAACTGCGAAAAGTAGTTCGTGCAACCATAGTTAATAGAGGGGAATGGTTATGAAACTCGACAAAGTTCTTTGTTCAGTATGTTTTTGTTGTCTTTTTTGGCCTTGACCGTACACAAAACACAATAGTTGCTTCACTACTGACCGAGGAACTAACCAATAGAAACGTTTCGGTTACGTAATCCATGTAGTGTATGAACGCAAAACAGAAGATTGTGCACGGCCGTGGACCTTCCAACATAAATCTTGGCATCTTTGTTTGCCCCTTTGGTGTTTGCCGAGCTTCATAACCATTCCCCTCTATTAACTAGAACGCAACATAGTCTAAAACGCAAGGTCTCTTCAATTTTCCAACACTCTCACCATTCCGGAAAAGAAAGGCTATTTCTTTTTTTTAAAAAGCTCCTTGTTGAGTATCTTTCTTATTTCTCAGCATGCCGCAAAGGAGGTCAAAGAGACAAAACATTGCTAAAATGACCCATTCGTGACGTCAAACCATTTAAATCTCAGTGCAAAAACAACTGCTTTGCTCGGAAATCACAGCCATTTCTCGATTGCTTCACGATTTGGCGGAGCACCACTTAGTTTAGACTTCTTTTAGACAGCTTTAACCGTCGCATCTGTTGACAAAATCCTGGCTTGAGTCTGACTGCTTAAATTTAGCTATTGAATAAAATTTTAAAAAATAGTTAAAAAATATTAAAATTAACAGAAAACGTGTTTCTTGAACGGGTTAATTTAATTTAGCACTCTGAGAGGTTAAAGGTTAAGAAGCCTTCGAACCTTTTCATTAATTTCCAGGCTCTTCTTCCGCCACAAACTAGGCGAATGAGTCAAAACATCCCTAAAATGACCCATTTATGTCATCAAACCATTTATGTCTGTAAAAACAACTGTTTTGCTCAGCACGAACCCCCATTTCTCGATGGGTTCACCATTCGGCGGAACTCATATCACTTAGTCTAAGTGGTATGACTTTAGAGCTACACCTGTCCAATTTGCTGGTGAAGCCTTGGCTTGTATCTACTGTTTAGATCTGGCTGTTAAATAGTGCATTACATTGCTGTTAAAAGTTTTTTTTTTTCAAATTGGTCAGTTTAGTTTGGCACTGTTAGAGGTTGAAGGTTAAACAATGTGTGCACTCTGTTTTTTTTTCTCGAATCTTCTTTCTGATAGTGAGGCTGATATGACGAATTTCCATTATGCTAACTGAATATAGACGATCTACTGAATATACCGAACACATCGATCTTTCCGGCAAAGGACTTGAAATACTGGAAATAAAATAAAATAAAAGATCATAACCGTTTCCAACCCTCATTGTATCATTGAAACGTATAGTATGTATGCATCTTTTATGATCGTTCCTAGATCAGAATTTACAAAGGGATTAAAGAAACACGTGTACAGCTCAGTTCATTCATGAATTTAGCACTGTTGCATTTGATCTTTGGTAATCTGTATCTTGGAACGGTTATATTCAGCAGAAAGTGGGCAGAAAAATAACTAACCATTCAGCCTGGACATGAACGTGAAGTAACTTTTGTTGATGTGGGAGGTAGGTAGAGAGCTGAAAGCACTTAGCTTTGACAAATAAAAAAGTCCGTGAGTTGCTCTTTCTCAGCGTGTTGTATCATTGTGCGTGAATCGTTTAATTTACATTTTCCCCCGACAAGCACATTTAAGCTTCCTAAATTGGACATCAACTTGCACTTTAATGAGCTTTGCACGCATTTAGTATCTCCGCAGGTGATATTTTGACACGAAAAGAGAGACAACAATTGACAAGATGCTACCTCGACATGGCATGATTATAACGGGGTTTTTTTTTAAGCCAGTTCCTTTTATAACCATTATTCATTGCTCTCAATTTTCCTGTCTAGCTGATCGCAACGATGGGGTGGTGCGCATGCATCCTCCTTATTCTTTTTTTACCATCGACTAGCGCGGGTTTGAATTTACGGCACTCAGCGAGAATGGAATGCATTTTAATGGACGAAGGGGGATCGCTCTTCGCGAAAATACAAAATTTAGTCACATGCGCTGATGATTAAAAATAAACCGAGTTGACTCAAAGAGTCTGTTAAATGGAATAATTTTTTCTTTTGGGGGGAGGATCAGACTCCAAGCCGAGGCAACCCCGGGCGACCGAGAGAACCTTGTTAAACAGCAGTGCGCCATCTTAATATTTCATTCAAAATCGCGCAGAATTCGAAGGGCAAGGTGTATCTGGGTGAGGGACCAATTCCGTTGAAGGTGAGGAGAACCTGGAAGGCAGTGATGGGGTGCCAACTTTTTTCAATGTTAAAAATTTTAGCTTGTTTTGCCCCTTCTACTAGAGATATTTCAGAACGTACAGAGCATGTGCAAAACGAGGAAGTCAGGGCCGTGTATTTGTACTTAAAATAAATGCTGTATAAAGGCTGGTTAGGAAGGAATGGTAGACCACCCTAACAGAGACAAATGCTTTCCATGTAAACAGTTGAATTGGTAACTACATACTTGCAAAGAATTGAGAACAATGAAGCCTCTTTGAAGAAAATACATAGAAGTCTAAGAGGGGTGAAATGTAATTTGATCTCAAAGCTGATCTCCAAACTATGAAAATAGGTGAATGCTGAAAATAACTCGAATTCTTTTTAAAGGTTCTATTTTAGTAGTCACCAGCCTCTAGGTCTTGCTATTGTAACTGAGAACAATGCGTAAAATTCAAACAGGAATTAAAGTAATTTATACATTGATCTTAAAAAAGAGGTTAACTGCTGAAGTGTTTTATTTTTAGTAGCAGGTGTAGAAAATTCCTCACCCACTTTGTTTTTTATACACGTTCTTTACTTAGCGCGTAGTTACTAAGCACGTTTTTGCTTAGAGATATCGAAACATAGTGTCTTGAAAAACCACTGCATGTCTTGCATTGAGGTATCTTATCACCATATGAAAATATAGTTGCAGATTTCATGCCCTCTACCATGGTCTGTTACTACAGCCGCGGACTGAATGCAAGCCGCAACTAAAATATTGTTATTTACTTTACTTTAGTTGAAAAGATGATTGAGGAAACAAAATTAGAATATAATAGAGCTAATGAAAGACATTTTTTGGTAGCATTGTAAGATAGTATGAAGTATAAACTTGGACGTTTACGTTCCCAAAGTCGTTAATTCAAGACTTGCTTTGAAAGATCATATCATGAAAACGTCTGATTCGCAATCTAACTTACGATCTCTAAACTGAAATCAGAAAGTCAGACGTAAATCTTTTTGTGCCGACCGTGTGTTTTCATTTGCTACCTTTATTTGCCATTTTAATTTCAATTGAGTGATCGCAGGCCCACTGAAAATGTTTGACGCACGTTTGAATTAAATCCAGTCTGATGGCATACTTAAATGTTTAATTTCGCTACGTACGAGCAATTGCAGTAAAACGTACGTGCAATTGCAGTAAAAAGTACGTGCAATTGCAGTAAAAATTAAACACAAATTGATTTAAGACGTGTCGTAATAATAGAAAGTGTTGAAAACAAGTTTGAGCCGTGAGGATTTTGCTTTCATGAGCAATTGTCCTCAAGCAGTTTAAAAAAGGTTGACCGGATTTCTACAATATGGTAAACGGATTCTAATAGCATCCGGATAGACAGATCTTAAGCGACTTCTACAATAGATAATGTCTGTGTACGTAAAATAAAGTCTCGCTCACATTAAATTGTGTTTCGAGAAGCATCGAATCCCTTAATTAGACACGTTTTAGGATTTTCTACACCGTATGGTAAGTTGACTAAGTTGTATTTATTTTACTTAATTCTACATACAAAGACGAAATAATCTTTGGTGTGACGGTTATCTAGATGTGCGTGTTTGATGAAGTGGGACTGTTAAGAAAGTTCTAAGAAAGGAAAACCTAAAACCAACCCTTCGGGTAAAAGCGCCATTAATTTGCCGCCACTGCTATCAAATGTTGCCTCCATTTTTCTTCTCTGTTGTCGGGGAAGCAACTAACTTAATTGCTTCCCACAAAGCCGTTTTGCATTTATTTAATTGATGAGAAAAGTTACACTGGGGACCTTTCTCCGTACTCGAAGTTGATTCTGGCGACAAACAATTACGCGCTCCACTGAGTTAAACAAGACAACAGCAAAAACTCGTTTGGCGGAAAAAAAATCTGGTATTTAATTTGTCTGGTAAGTCGCACATTTGAACTTGGTGACTCGTATTTAGTATTGAATGGTTTTAACCTGACTTGACTCCCCAAATCCCGGATGTTTGATCAATCTCAAGCCATAAGATTTGTATTTTCAACATGACCGGTGTTTTAAGTTACTTTTTGTGCGTTTTTTGCCTTAGGATATGAAATTCTTATTCTTTCTTATTTTTTCTATTGCTAAATCAAGAAAATCTTAGTTGCTTGTATTAGCACCTGCTAATATAACAATAAATAAATTAATTTTAAAATAGAATTTTTTTTATTAAATACTTAGCTTCTGTCTATATACATGGATGAATCTTGGGAGTTATTGAAGCACGTTTTTTTTTCTTTTGTTCTCTTTTATGGCTTCAGGATAGTTAAAAACAAATGAGATTCTCGACTCCAAGACGCTATCGCGACTTCTATCATGACACCGTTTGAGGCTTATATATATTTTGAATATATCACACAAGCATCGCAATTACATTAACATAGAATTAACTTTATGCGAAATGCTTCAACGGTCTGCGATTGCGATCTGTTAAAAGTAGTCCTCGTGATCAGACTGAAAATAAGAAATACGATACTATCCGGAGAAACTGCTCACAAAAAATACCTCTCTTGTTTATAGTATCAAAGAAATTCATCCTGCATAACACGCGGTAGGAAGCACTAGAAATCGATAAATAAACGTATGTTTTAACATTTTGATTATATAACGCTCTCTCTAATTGGTCCACGAGAGGAAAAATGCTCCTATCAAAATACTTACCAAGATATAACTTATACAACAAAAAACAGGTCGTGTCAACCGAGAAATCCTTACATAATCAACGTCAGTCATATTTTCCGCCGAACATGTGTCGAGCATGTGTTTGTCAGTTTGTTAGCCAGTAAGCACTTCGCATTTAAATAGATCAGCTTCTGCAGTTGCACGCTAGTGTACAAGACGTGCGACTTGTAGATGTCAAAAAAACACGTGCGATTTCAAAGAATAGAATTAGCTTTTGTCAAAGTGAACTTTGATCAGAAACCAGAAAAACGCTTTTTTGCTTAAACTGTATCACGCGTTACCAAAGATAGTGAGAGCATGCGGTCCGCGTGTTTTTTTATCGTAAGATCGCGAGACATATAGTTCAAAAACAACACTCAACCCCAGCTTCAAAAACTCGGTTTGGCCGCTACTGTTATTTACCTTTATCAATTTCAAATTGATAAATAGCAGAGTGCCTCTCATCAATGGACGGGTTAGGGTGAGTTCCGTTTGTTATACTGAATCACCTTATAACATCTTTTTTTGTTGCAAAAAAAGCACAGTAGCCAAAAGTAATTGTAAATGGGATCTTTTTCACCAAATTATGCAGTCATCGTAACGATAAAGTTATCTTTTTGTGATGATTCGGTACATGAATTTAGTTAAAACGAAATTCTTTCAGCTTGGGAAAAGAGCAGCTTTTTTTTTTCGGATCTCTTTCTACTTTTAATGTTTTTGTTCCAATTCTAAGGGCTCTAACAATGGATCTCTAGTGTGATTTTCGACGTTTAAGGGACGGTTTCACGCTTTAGCGCATGTGCAGAAATGATCATTCATGTATCTTGTTCCTCACACTTAAATACAACATATACATAATTCATATGGGGTGCGGCTTTGGCTGAGCTCTGTTTGCTGGCTAACAAAACTCAACATCAACACTACCAAGTGGGATATATCGGCCACAGGTGAGGCCGTTTATTTTGATAACAAGTTTAGAACGCTTAAATTACAAACATACCAAGGTATTATCCCAGCAAAGGTGAGGGAGAAACCGCCAGCTAATGTAGAAAATAGAGAAAATGTTGTGTGGAGGGAGGGAAAATTCCCTTCACTTGCTGAGAATGGTTCGCAAAAGAGAAGGCGGACCACATTTAGCGATATCTATATCTGCGATGACAGAAACTCCCCCAACCAAGTACTGGGTCTAGTTACGTCGCAAGCTACATAAAATCATTTATTTTGGTAAAATAAATTCCCTCTAAAAGTACCTTTTTGTCTTCACAATGAGGTCACACGACAGACTATACCTATACATTCCTTTCGTTTTCAAGGTTTAAAGACACCAAATCAAGGGAACACCAAACTCGATATGCAGCAAGATGCGACCCAAAGTGGCCACGAGACTTTTGTATGGCACGAAAAGGGTTACTTGGCCTATGGCATCTCCATGTTCTTGATCCTATCGTTCGGCTTCGTAGGAAATGTTCTGACTCTTCTTGTGCTAAAACAGCGTGAACACCGCAGCCGAGGGGTGACTCCTCTAATGGTCAACGTGGCACTAGCGGACATTTCTATTATCGTATTTGGTTACCCGATCGCAATACAATCTACTTTTAGAGGAGAGCTTTTGGAGCGTTCTACCTGTATCTGGGTGGCGTTCATCAACGGTACCGTGGGGATAACGTCCATTTTTACATTAACTGAAATGGTTGTGGTGTCCTATTTTGGTGTGAAGCAGGTAAACACGAACACTCATAGACTGTCAACCCATCAAGTTATCTGCTTGATTGGCAGTGCTTGGTTGTACGGAAGCTTTTGCATGTTCCCACCGCTACTTGGCTGGAGTCGGTTTGTTGTCACGTCTTCGAAAATAAGCTGTTGTCCTGATTGGGCGGGGAAGTCTGCCGCTGATATAAGTTACAATCTTCTTCTTGTTGCGTTTGGGTTCATTTTTCCCCTCGCAGTCATGATTATTTGCTACTACAAAATTTTCAGGTAAATCGGTTTTTGTCACTCATTCAAATGCTTACGCTTTTCACCTTATTTTGTGTAAGAGCAACTTAGAATGACTTTTACAATCAGTTTTTCTTCTTCCCCAACATAACTATAAGATGACTTCCAGTCCGTACAACGCAGTCTCATCAGCAACCCAATGTTTGTGGGTCTCATTCGATGGAATGCGAATCGACGTTATCCGTTACGAACCACTTGTCTTATCTTTGAGATGTTTTATATTCTTTATCCAACAGTTGCTTTGATTTTTGCAGCTACGAAAAAGTTTCATATAGTAATAACAGAAAAAAAAAACAAAAAAAAAAACGAGAATCTACGTGATACATTCACACCACTAATCAAAATGGCCGACAGCCGGCTCATGAGGCATAGACTGTAAGGAAACTGCGTTGACGCGACAAAACAAAAAACGAAAAATAGTGTTGGCATGCTTTTGTCTTTGCAACGTACTTTTCCTGCATTTTTTACCCGATATGTGACTAAACTCGAAGAAATTTTTCATGACTTCAACTTTTTCACTTGCAGTCTGACTTCACGTGTTCCTTATGCATCAATCAATGTTCAATGTTAAGCCAGAGGTGGGGGAGGGCACCCCGGGAATATGTGGAGCACTTGACTTTTTGGAAGAATTTTTGGTCAAAATCCTCAACCAAGGCCCGAAAATGGGTAAAATCAGATCAAATATCCCCCATCTTGACGTAGCGGCGTAGCCTGTTGCCATCCAGGTGTCCGTTCATTACTTCATTTCAAGTAAAACATAATTTCTCGCTGTGAATGGATGGAAAATATTAGAATTCCAACGTTTGATTGTGTGACAAAAAGCGAGACTAAAAATCAAGAATCCAGGCAGTCTCCACAAAGTGAGGTGTTCCATCAATTTATCCTGAAAGTAAGTAGTGAGCGAGTAGTTGTTTAATCGTTCAAGTGTTTGCCTCCAAAACACACCTGTGTATTTCAAGATGGCCCAATAGATTTGCTTTCATTTCCCCTCGTACCAGTCCCCACCTGGGCGCCCCAGGGTGAGGAAGGTAATCGAAGTCTAAAGTTCCACATATGCCCAGGCTCCCCCGGACTTAACATTGATAGACGCATTAAACTTCATCTCAAGGAATCTTTTGGGCGATTTGTAGATACAACCGAAAAATGAAAAGAAACAATAGATTATGAGACAAGCTTGAGTTAAAAATTATTTTCATAATCGGAATCGTAAATCGTAAATCTCGGTTCAGACCACGACTTTCACAACCTCGTTCTAAACTCTGTTTAAATAATCGGCCCATAGACTGCCATCGATCTGTCTTTCTCGAAGGTAAGTGGTTGAACGGTCTAAAGGTGAGGGTGTAAGGTGAGAAGCGTTAATTCAACAAAGATGAGTCAGACACAGTGAAGAGCTTCCTTTGTAAAGCTCTTAAACTACCGACTGTTTTGCAGTTTAAGATTCTCGTGCCGAGATGATATAACCTATTTCAGAAAGGAATTCCCTCAACCAATTCAAGACATACAAGGAATGGATAGTAGCAGACATGTTAAAATTTTTAGAAACAACACAACGTTTTTTAAGATGACAGAAGATTCTAAAAAAAACGTTGTGTTGTTTCTAAAAATTGTATCATACAAGGGACATGATACTTTGATGGCATATGCTCCATATTGGAGATGTTCGTTAGGGAACCTCGCCTTGCTATTCCCCGGACAAGGTATCAAAATAATCCTCTCTCTCTTCTCTCTGTTTTGCAGTATTGTTCATAGTGCTGTCGTACCAGGTAATGTTGCAGTCCAAATAAGACAACGGCACTCGGAATTAAAAGTAGCTCGCATGACAGCAATGTCTGTCATTGCCTTCGTGCTGAGTTGGTCGCCATATTGTTTCGTCAGTCTCGCAGCAGTATTCACAGGAAATCACGTGATAGAATCTGGCGAAGCAGAAGTTCCTGAGCTGTTAGCCAAAGCTTCCGTAGTTTACAACCCCATCGTCTACACCATCATGAACAATAGATTTCGAGCTACACTGCTTCGTATTTTACACGTGCGGAGACGAGGAACTCTACAAAGAGACCTAACACTCGCTTCAAGAATTCACAGTCTTAGAATTGACGCAGATTGCCATAACATTAACAAAGGGTGCGAAAGACAAAGGCATCTACTGCAGGTACCACCTTTTGAAACTGCAATTGCTGACAACCGATAACCAAACAAATTCCTTTTACTCTAGTTTGGGCATGGTGCATGGAAACTCCTACTGTTGTCGAGCATTTGCTATGGGATACACTTTATTTGAGATAAAGTACCTGCAAAAGAACTTAACGGGCTAGAAATAAATTGTGTAACTCCATTGATTGGCCTTTCACCCGACGGTCGAGAGTTTTGACAGTAGTGTCAGTGGAACTTCTCACTTCTAGAAGTGGCCAAGTGGGTGAACGGCCCTTTGATAAAACATCGAAATTAGAGATTTTTAGTTTTTAGATGTTATAGTGAATAATTATATTACTTTTCATTGATTTTGGGTTGCAAGTTTACTAGATTAGAGACCAGCACTGATTTCGTAAAAATCTTAGTCTAAGAATCTAGCCAATCAACGTCATGTATCTCCAGAGCCAACTTTTCTTCGTTTCAAGGCCCCGTCGGCCAGGAAGGACAGGTGGCCTCTGGGGAAGATAACGCTTTTGGATGTTTATGAGTGCATTTTATATTGCACTTGGTTGTATTTATTAAACTGTGTCCAATCTGAACTAACTTTAAGGCTCAATCTAGGATAAACACATTCGTACAATTGTTTGTACAGAGACAACGTGAAGGAAAATTTGACAGTTGTCCCTATGTTATCACGTGACTTTTGCCACTTCCTCTCCTGACCTAGGGGACAGAGGTGGTAATTTGGTAGTTGGAAGACACTAAACCAATATTTGATAGCGTGATGAAAATTTCTAAGTGAACTAGTTAGTTTTGCGAAAGAGTTTTTTTTTTAGAATTGCACCTGACTTAGGGGAGAAAATTAATTTAGGACTTGTACAAAGAACAGAATTAGTTGGTACCATTGAGGAGTTTCCATTGGCGACTCGTTCACACGTCGCGTGTTATATTCAGCCCTAGTACGCTAGGGCTAAATACTTTGACACTGACATAAAGGTTTGTCCCCTATATTAGTGCTCCTGGATGTAATTATAGCATAAGTAGGGATGTTGAATCAGCTGTGAGTGAATAATAGACCATCTTCGTATCCTCGGTATTGGACTGGAACTAGCTTGCTATGGAGGCTTATGCGGGGAAATATCAATTGAAAAGACCGTCCCTGCATCAGCCTCAGTTGCAAGCTAGTTCCAGTCCAGGGGCCTGTTTCTCGAAAGCCTTGGAAACTTTTCGTGCCCGCAAAGCCAATTTTGATAAATCGGTATTTAAAGACAGAGAGGTGTATACGCCTGAAACTTCTTGTATAAAGAGAACCTCTGTTCATACTAAGAATATATGCATAAATCAGCTCTGTATAGTCATGAGGTTTCAGATTTTGCTACAACTTTTCGGGCGCCAAAACGTTTCGGGACCTTCGGGAAACGGGGCCCCTATTCCGAGAATACGAACATGATCGATTATTTGACGACACAATAAATGGACTAGCTATGTCTCTTACATGCAAACTGCGTTTTATTTGCATTGTTATGGGAAAGAGTCTCGATTGGGTTTAAATGATAACTGAGGATTGGTCAAAATCATGCCAGTTGGCAAATAAAACATTTTTAAACTGAAAGTAGAGATCTGCGATCTCAGTTTCATGAGTTGATAATCAAATAATGCATATTATTTAATTGAAAAGAGGCGAGACAAAAATACAAACACTATTACATACGGTGTCATCCAACCATTTTAATGTAGCCAAGCACCGAACCGTGATATATAGATTTAGCCAAGCCTAACAGGGGAGCTCCTGGGCCGAGTGGTTCAAAGCCCGATTAAGAAAACCCAGGTTAAGTGAGAATTTTGAGTTTGTAACTTTGCAATGAGGCTTTCTGTTATATTGTTTGGCCTTTTGTTTTGAGTTTGAATCATCTTAAAATATAGGTACACAAAAAAAGCAGTGAAAAACATTAGTATACAAGTTTGAGTAACGGTACCGTTCAACTTTGAGCGACTAGAGCATCACCAAAATCAATCCAACGGAAAATCAAACGTTACCGGTGTGCTAGAGAAAGATGAAAGTTTCAAATGGGGTACATTTCACCAGGATCTGAGTTACCATAACAACGAAATGACGCCATACTTCATTGCATATAACACCGAATAACTTGCCGTCAGGGACAATTTTGAAAATACGACGTCGGGATCTCGGACTTGACATAGTTATCTTAACGATGGCAAAATTTTAAAAAAAATCTATAACAGCGCTTTCGAGAAAATTGCGAGTGAAGTTTTAAGGCGTCAAAATTCAACATAAACAAAACAGTTTTCAATGTTATTGAAAACTATGTTCACAAGAATCTACTAAATGGCATTTTAGACTTAGATGAATGTAATCATATAACATGTAAATATCTTGACCGAAAATCCCGGAGAAATCGCCCAGTTTGATTTTTAGAAACACTGGCTTGAATACCAACTGGTTTGACATTTTATTTTAATTTTTTTCCAAAATTTGACCTAAAATTATTAAATTGGTCGGCAATAAAAACGCACTCGATGAATTTTTTTTTTAAACCTGGCCCTCAAAAAAATCCGTCAATATTAAATGAAACCACGGAGTTTCAAATTCATTGAAACATTTTAAGCCCACTAATTTTTAGCCTCAACTCAGGAAAATATTGCGAGGCTGCATGTCTGTCAACCTTTTAGCTGGAGTATGGCCGACATCTTGGGAGACTCCGTCGTCACCGTCGTCGTGCGAACGCTTCCACGAGCAATACTGCTAGCCATGCATGATAACCATGAGAAAGTCAATTCATGGGTTTCCTTTTCTTTCCTATATGGGTATGGGGCTCCGTTTGGCGGCCCTTGGGGCCGCCGGAGCTCCGCTACAATTGCAGATTAAGGAAAAGCAGTGCCACATTATTTTTGAGTAATTGATTGATTGGCTGCTTGTTTGTTTGATGGATGGATGGATGGATGGATGGATGGATGGATGGATGGATGGATGGATGGATGGATGGATCGATGGATGGATCGATCGATCGATCGATTGGTGGATCGATTCCTTGATTGATGGATTGCTTGATAGACTGATTGATTTATCGATTACTTAATTGATTCGAGTGGTTGATTGATTAAATGTTTATCTTTATACCTATTTATGTTTCTTTATATCTTCCATATCAGTAACGGTTGTTATCATATTAGTGCGGCGGCTTCAGTTTAGCGATAATGGTGTTCATAGCCCTGAGAACTTGTTGTGTTGTAGGTTCAGGAGGTCCGCTGGGATCGTCCGGTAGCCAACACCTTTCATTTTTTTCCTAAACCCTCACATATCTCGGGGACGTCTGCTAGTAAAAACCCGCCTGTCCTCAGAAAGAAGCCCTGAAGATCACAGATTTGACGGTACTTTGCAATTGGAATTTGTGGTGCCTTCATGTAGTTGATGATGTTCCAGAGATCATTCACTTTTTCGGCTTTCCCGGTAACACATTCTTAATTATAGTTGCTACCTCGTTGAAGGTGATGCGGTCGCGTACGTGCTAAAACTGTCTCCTGGGACTACCCACCCATTCAACTAGATAACCACTACAACCTTCGACTTGTTCTTGTCCACACGTCACGTCACCAATTAGCTCTTGCTCTTTATCATGATAAAATTTCACTATTTTGACACATGCGTTTTCGAGTTTTTCTAGTCTGACAACCTCATCTCTGATCATTTCCGCGCATTTTTCCCCTCAGAGCCAAGAAACTCAGACCTACATACAAGGAGCGCAACCGTTCGCACGCCGTTGTTGCGGCATGCGACCTTGTCTACTGCATACATAACGCTACAAAGTTGGTTGTAGTTGATCAACATGCCTTTAACTTTTATTGATTTAATGAGGTTTAGGCTTCCAGAAACTTCTGTTCTCGAAGTTTACCCGGCATCTGACGCGGCATCGCGACCATGATCATCGAAATCAGGGAAAATAGGACGACACAAAACTTGTGCTGCGCATGCTCCATTACCATCTGAGTGAAAAGGAAGGGTTACCAGCTGTATTAATCCCTAGATAGCTTATTAGGGCTACATGGTTTATGGTTCACAACTAAATCTTCCTGTATGGGTATTGACCAAGCGTGAGGTCAAAATGGTTGGGTATTGGCCGCGTTATGGACCGAGACGGAGTCAAGGTCNAAAAAAAAAAAAAAAAAGAAAAAAGAAAGAAAGAAAAGAAAAACACCAATATCCAGCCATCTTGACAGAACAATCCTGGATTTAATTTATTATATGGCTTTCGGGGAAATGTTTCTTGCAGGCCACAGCGGGTAGTCCCGAGCAGGCAACATGACGCATTCTTGCCCGCTCGGGTAGCCAATCACAACGCCAGATTTGCTTCATTTTGCCCCCTCACGGAGCCAGTCATATAATGGTATGGGTTAAAACTGATCACTGTGATAAAATTAGGAACGGCGATTGGCGCCCCTACCCACGCCCAAGTGTGTACTTACGGACCCTATAGATCGAACTGACCAACAAGCCTAACTCACTAAGTACAATAAAAGTTGAGTTATCCACGCCTAGACTTCGTTGTTGGTAATTTAGTTTTGAATTCGTATGGAAGGTTAAAGTTCCATTGAGACTTCGAGAAGCTCAAAAGGATGACATGAAAATCGCAGGTACCAGAACTGAAAAATGGAAGAAATTTCGCTGTCGCGATAGAAACGGTTATCGGGGTAAGTTTATACGTTAGCAACCCAGTCCTTCAAGGTTTTTGCTAATGGAAATATTTTCCCTGTCACGTTTGAAAAGGTTATTGGGGTTATTTCTGGATACGTTAGCAACCCAGCCCCTCAAGGCTTTGTACATCATGATCAACTGAGGATGACAGTAGGTCCTGTCGAAACATGTCTTTAAAACTTAAAAGTTCTGCCGTTTTCTTTAAATTCTTGACTTGCCTGCTATTATCAAGACCCTTTGAAAATAATTTAAACATTGAAACTTTTGGCTTGATTAAAACTCATGGTCAAGGTGGGGGAAAAACATGGGAGCCCAATTGTTCGGATCGAGCCCATTTGTTTCCTCTATTGAAGATTCTCACGTTATTACCTAGTAATTTTTGGTGAAAAAATGGTTAGTCTCCTGTCCTAACTATGGTGAAAATATTTTAAGAAACTAAGCTTATAATTTGCAGCTAAATAGAGGAAGGAAAAAATTGTAAAAAAAACGGGCCAAGCCTCACTCCAATAATGGTCATTAGTGACAAAATACAAAATAATGTTTCTCAGCTGGGTACTACTTTTATCATTTCGAGAATTTTCGGAGAAAGGAAAATGGTTCACTTCGAACAATGTTTCCAACTAGAAAAACCGAAACTTATCCCGCGCCAATGGAATAAAACTATTTTTAGCGTTGTTACTGGGCGCTAAATTCGCAATAATGAATTGTGTATCATTTTCTCTTAGTATCACAGAGGTATAGATCGTTTTCACGTGACGTCATCACTTTGTAAAATCCAAAACTAAAGAACCACCAAAGTTTTTAACCTAATCAGGCATAAGAGGCGGTATATTTATATCTGTTTACAATTTTACAGCTCAATAGCGTGCTTCGTTTGGAATCCAGAGCATTTTGAATTTCAGGGTTATGGAGGTCCGTGACACAAGGCTACGATCGAGTTTGTCGAAAAATATATACTTATCTCATGATTTTGAGCCTTTTTAGAAGTTAGAGCATTAGGAAAAGTGCTTATG